TTTTGAAGATCAAAGTTGACTTGAAAGCAAGAAGCTGGAAGAAAGTTCAACAAGACTTGTATCATGAGACCATTATTATAAAAAATTCTTACAATCTAAAAATATTTTCTAGTTTTAAATGACCTGTAAAGGGTTGATAAGCTGTAAAAAAGGAACCAATCAATCAAATATAAAGAGATAAATATTAATCAAATCTCTCAATTTGTAAGTGTTATGGTCCAGGTTAGGACCAAGGAAGAACAACACGAACACAAGAGTAGAAATAACGAAGGTATATTACACAAAATAATAATACAAGATGTGGAAGGTGTTAATATGACTGTCAGTCTGATTTGGAGTGAACTACTATCGGCTCAACTCGATTTGTCCCTCTCTCTTGAGAGGCATAGTATACATGGTGTTAGGAAGAGTTCATTCTGTAGTTATAGGTAAGGGCCCATGAGAGTAAGATGCAAATCGAGAAAAAAAAAGAAACAAAAAGTTCAATACTGTAAAAATAGAATTAAAAGAATCTGATGATTTTGATTTAAAAAAGAGGTACAAGTGATATTAAATTCAGCAAGATAACTAAATAGGTATTTCTTATACATAGTATGAGTAACATGTTAGATAAGTTGGGAAAGAGAGAGAGAGAGAGAGAGAGAGAGATTAAAAACTCGTGCAGTCAAGGTACCACTGAGAGCTTATTAGAACAACTGCCATGAAAATATTTATAAGGAAGACAGAAAAGTGAATGAAGTTGAGATGCCAGGTCAAGACTGAGAACATTATAAACCGTTCTTAGGATTTTGTCGAGAATCTCAAGATATATAGCAGGAAAAAAGTTCAATACTGTAAAAGTAAATAGAATTAGAATAATCTCTGATGATTTTGATTTAAAAAAGGCAATAACATAACTAAATAGGTATTTCTCATACATAGTATGGGCAACGTGTTATATAAGAGAGAGAGATTAGAAGCTCAAGTTTTATAGAAACATTGATTTTATCTTATGCTTTCAACAAAATTTGATAAGATTAAGCAAAGTAAAATATGTATGTAAATTTATCAGGTGCTCTTGAAAGCTTTGAATGTATCGAATATCTTTTGAAATGCATACAATTTCAAAGTAAATAAATAAATGTAGGATGATGATGTTATTCAATTCCATCTCTGAGTAGAACGAAGTGGCAGTGACTTTTCCTTTGGGAAAAGATTAGAAATTTCCCTTACATCTGGCACTGAAGGGAAAAGGGTCCCAAAATATATGTTCAAAATGATTTTAAGACAGGAAGTGGCTACTGGTTGGGGTAGGGATAACATGTTCTCTAGCTTTGTGCTCTTAGAGCTTTAGTTATAGCTTACTAATTATACGTTCCCTTCCACCATTTTATTTTATATTTTTTTTTTTAACATTCTCCCACACTGATTATAATACCAAACTAAACGTGATAAAAAGTCAAAATGTGTTTCACAATTGCTCTGAGTGAAGGAGGCAAAAGTCACAAAATATTACTTTTAAGAGGAAAACACTTTTGGAAAGCCAAGTCTTGGCAATTAAATGAATCAAACCAATGAAAGTGCTAGACAGGCTTGTCTTTTATTTATTCCATTCATTACAAACGTAGTTTTTAAGAATGATTTTTACATTATGAAAACACTGAATGTAAATTAGCATTAATGGTAGAGGTTATAAAAGTTTATTTATTGCTATCTCTGTCCCATTAATAGTCGCTATGAAATGCGTAAGCAAATATAATAACTATTATGGGATAGAATTATTTTTAAATGCTGTGTTCCATAATGACTATTACATTTTAGTGTATGAAATGTTTATGCAGATGTAACAACGTTTATGGGATAGAGCAAAAAAAAAAAAAAAGAAAAAAAAAAAGAAGTCCCATAATGGTTGCTAATGTATGAAATGTGTATGCAAATGTAACATTTATGGGACAGAATAAAAAATGCTGTGTCCCATAATGATTGTTACATTTATTTAGTGTATTGAAATGTCTATGTAAATGTAACAACTATTATGGGACAGTGAAAGAAATGTTCCATTAAGAATTGTTATATTTAGTACAGTGTAACCCGGATATAACAGACCCGGAAATAAGAGAGATTTTCTCTGGTCCCAAATTAGAGCCTGTGAATGTAGACCAAACCCGGATATAAGAGACTTCTTCTCCGGTCCCGACAACTCTCTTATATCCGGGTTACACTGTAGTGTATAAAACGTGTATGCAAATGTAACCAAGAGATTCTGTAATAATTTCGAAGTTTGCCGTTTGGTGTTTATTAATAACGGAAGAAAGACAACAAAGAAAACGATACGAACTTACAAAAAAAGAAAAGAAGAAAAGAGAAGAAAAAAAAAAGAAAAAAAGAAGGAAAAAAAGAAAAAAAAAAAAAAGAAAAAAAGAAGGAAAAAAGAAAAAAAAAAAAAAAAAAAGAAAAAAAAAAAAAAAAAAAAAAAATAAAAAAGAAGAAAAAAAGAAAAAAGAAGAAAAAAAGAAAAAAGAAGAAAAAAGAAAAAAGAAGAAAAAAAGAAAAAAGAAGAAAAAAAGAAGAAAAAAAGAAAAAAGAAGAAAAAAAGAAAAAAAGAAGAAAAAAAGAAAAAAAGAAGCAAAAAAGAAGATAAAAACGATGGGAGATAGTCGCCCAGAACCTTAAAGTGATCACATGATTTATTTTTCTTTTCTTCAATAATAAATGAGATTGTTTTGGAGAGTAACCGTCTGTCCGTAGATATTATTGTGATTGATTGCTAAAAAGAATTACCTGCAGAGCCTCTTAGCAATTTTTTTTTTTTTTAAAAAAACAATGTAAAATTTAAAAAGTAAATCAGAAGCCGGATTATTAAAATAAAACTTTTCTGTTTGCCTTAAGAGAGAAAGTTTTGGTGGTGGGCAGGCAGTTCAGTTAGAAAACTTTCCCCCACCACTATTTCAGAGTGGCTTTATTCCTTCTCCTCGTAAAAGTAGCAGTAGCCAACAGCAAATTGTTAATTCAGCTGTCCAAGTCAGATTATTGTCTAATGGTGTAAGTCACCAGGGGCACACAAAGAGAACGGGGTAGGAATTCTAAAATCCTCCCTCATACTGTCTCGGTGTAAATGATAAAAGAGGGTTATGGTTAGGTCAAATACATTTTGATCACTCAGAAATGGATTTCTTTTTGGATTTCTTTATCTCGTTTGAACCAGAAAGGCTTTTTTTTTTTTTTTATGTACTCGACATTTTAGCAGAAATAACAACTGACACTGATGCTTTCATAATCCTTTGTCAGACTTTAAATAATACAAAATGTCTTATCGTGAAAGAGTGCTCAACGAAAATAAATGGGTCAAAGTCTTCATTTTAATTTTCTATGTGAAGTACCGTGTCTCTTCAGCAAGTTGGCTTTCCACAACTTCCTATCCTTTGTAGCTTTAGAACATTTGCCTTTTTACTATCCCAATCATCCCTGTTCTGTCATCCATGTACACAAGCTCGTTAGTTAAGTTGATCATGGCTCTCCACTACTTCCTATAATTTATATCTCTTTGCCTTTTTATCAATCCCATTCCCACTGTTATCTGTTCACACATGCTCATTAGGCAAGTTGATAATGGCTCTCCACTACTTCCTATCCTTTGTAGCTCTTAGCAATATCTGTCTTTTTATGATCATACACATCCTTGTTCTGCCATCCATTTACACAACTCGCCTGTTCAGCTATTTGCTGTTTCCCTCTGCATTTTTTGCTTTCAATATATCCTCTACTGTGTCAAATTTTCTACCTACACTTTTTTTTTTTTTTTTACAGTGAGGTTAACTCTGTCCAGAGCTCAATAGCCACTCGAGGTAGATGTAAGAGGCAGCACCCCAAGCAAGGAAATAATGCTACCAAGATGCAAGAACCCACTGAACGTGAAAGAAGGAAAAGACTTTAGGAGGAACCAGAAACCCAATCTGGAACAGGAAACAAGGGATAAACCTTTACTCCTGTTCAAAAGACCAGGGAAGAATGTGAACCTGACAATAGGCAAGCCTATCTACTCTTGCAGTAAGGAGTATTGTATACCTAGCTACTGTAGCAAAGACATATCCAAGAAGAGTCACTTTTTTGGTGCTTGACAATGTCATCACTTATGTCCCAGAATTTCCAACTGTTTCTGATTCTAAATATGTCTAGGCTTCCATTTTCCTTTAAAACCTTTTTCGCTCTTCATACGCCTCATCCATGGTATTGTGAAACCAGGCCGATCATCATCGGGTTCTTACCCACTTTGAAAATCATTTATCGCTACACCTGTGAAAATTACTTTTTTTTTTTTGTGTGTGCAAATTCTTAATCACGGCCTTCTTGTTTAAACTCACCTTTCTAGTCAAAAGACTAGCGACAAGCCCGTGTGAAAATAAACAAGTAAAAACTAAACTAGACATGTTCATCTCAAAGGTGACTAGAAGAAACCCACATTGGTTGAAATGTTGAAATTAAACAAATAAAAGATAAATTTAGTAATAAATAAATAATATTCAACGTTCAGAGATGAAGCACTGTCAATTGCATTAATGAAATTAAACGTACTGATATAAAAAAATGACAGAAATATTTAAATAGTTTGCATTGATTATATTTTATTTTTATGCATAAATAATTTAAAGACTTTTTCCATACAATCAACTCCATTGTTGTCCATAATGAAGGATTCTGCTTTTTAAAATCAGTAAAATTAAAAAAAGAAAGTTGGCATGAGACAAAATACTTTCTGATTGATTTGGGTTTTTTTTTTACAGCTTATCAACCTTTTGTAGGTTATTAAAACCAGGAATTTTTTTTGAGAGTGTAAAATTTTTTTTTTTTGGGGGGGGGTATAATAATGATTTACAAATCCTATTAATTAACCCATGGCTGGAGGGAGAAGAGGTGGATTCATACCCTCTCCAAGGGTATTTGTGTGTAAGTGAATGAAATTGGAACACGGCTCTCTGACATCCAAATCCGAGCCTTATTCATTACATCTCCACATATCCAAGCTTACAGCACCTGGTATTCCCAAGTGGTCACCCACCTAGGTACTGACCAGACTTGACATTGCTTAACTTCAGTGGTCATATGAGAACTGGTGTATCAATTTGATTTGGCCATAAGCTCTTACTGAGATATTCCACTGTGATGGTAGCACTAAGCAGATTCGTCAAAAATGCTGAGTAATGGATCCAGTTAATGGAAGACGAGATTGGGTTGCATGACTGATAAAACAATATAATTTTAATATATTTATGTTTATGATGAAACAGATTTTTAACTAATATTTCATCTTTTTTTTATATATTTCTGTTACATTTTATTGTCATTATTATGATTGTTACGTTAAGTAATTTTTTCTTTCTGACTTGCTCTGCTTGATTAACGATTATTGAATGACGATCTGAGGTGTGTGTTGGTGGGGATAAACAATTGTAAATTTTGTAGGCTCTGCACATCAAAAGATGGCAATCTAATACATATTAATCTTAGAGTGCATGTATTAAAATGTCCTTAAACCTTCAGGTTATTTCAGTTACATGACGCTAAAATATCTTCCACTATCATAGCATGTAAAAGCCATGTCCATTTCAAACTCAGTCCAGTTAACAACATTCACGTTCTATTGGCAATCTCTCTTTGAAAATGACCAATGATGGTCAAATGCACTCCAAAGATTGCACACAATTCTGGCCAGTTCCTTTTTTTTTTTTATAAGTTTTCACTTGTCACCAAACAATTTATTCAACACTAGGAGAAACTTATCAAAATGTTCATTGTCCATTCTATTTAAAACATGTTTAAATGAAATTGTATTGGTAAAAACATCTTGGTAATAGGTTTTACGTCCTTATCTATTTAAAAAAATATCTTTATCCCATAAACCTGACCACAGTAACTGACACTATTTGGTAGCCAGTTCAATTTTGTTTGTATGATTAATCATTTAAACTTTGCTGACAATCTCTGCTTTGCTGAACAGTAGAATAAACTAATTAAATGGTCGGGTGAACGAGAGAGTCATACACATGAATCTTCTGTTTTAACACGTATACTGACGTACATCTTTTTTTATAGTAAGGCTTGGAGGCCACTCAAGGTAGAGGGTTATTACATTTAACATCATAAAAGACACATGATCATATTTAGATGTACTTCATATTTAAGCTGGACATATTTTTGTCTTGCAGTGAGGTTCACCCTGTATAAGGCCGGGGGGGGGGTCACTTGAGGTACAGGGTTACATTAAGGGGTAGTTTATACGGATAGCGGAGGAGATAATGGTTAACTATAAACAGGTTAATATTATAGTAATCAGGGAAATATCCTCTTGGGAGTCTGTTCCACAGAGCAGTGGTTGATGGGAAGAAGCTGTTTGAATGGAACTTACTTCTCACCGATAGAATGTGGGTGGTTTGCTACACTGTAAGTGGCATGGCGAGTACAAACCGTAAAGGTTAGGTGTTGCAGAACTCAAGAATGTAGTTTGTCTGAGAACTTTTCATGGAAATAGTGATAGAGCCTGTGAGAAAGAGTTTGGAAAGTGGAAAATAATTTTTAGATTTATTTTATTGAAATCGAAAAGTATTTTTTTCTGTTTTCAAGCAATTTTAATTATGGCATTATAAAATTAGTTTTCTAATGAAATATTTAAATTATTTTGTCATTTTACAATACAGAAAGAAATTATATCAATTGCTTGCCACAAATCTGAAAATAAAAATTAAATATTACTGTTTTCATTTTATCCTAATTAAATTATACTGCAGTTTTATATAAGAATCAGTCTTTGAAAAACAGAAATTTTACCACATAGAATCTATTTCAAATGATTTGTCTCTTAATACAAGTATCAATGTATAGTTCATTTAATCTTGTCTTTCATTGAGTTTAACTGATATCTTTTTACTTCAGTTCATCTTTCATTTCTCGTTTTTCTAATATGGCTTCCAAGCCAAAGTTCATCTTTTGATAATTCTTTTCTTAAAGGCCGGCATCGTTTTATTTTTACCTCAATCAATTTGCTAATCAAAGGTAAGTGAGGCTGCTTTAAACAATAATCAATAACTCTGTAGCCTGAATTCTGATATAGAAATTTTTGGTGAATAATACTGTGGGCGTGATATTAAGAAACAGGGAATTTTCATTAGAAACAAAGAAAACAGTACTGAAATGTAATGTAATATCAGTCCTCCTATATGACAGTGAAGCTCACAGATGAAGAAGAAACTTGAAGCAACAGAAATGTAGTTCTACAGGAGGATGCTGAGAATATTGTAAACTGAACATGTGAACGACGACAAAACTTTAGAGAAAATGGAAACAAAAGAACACCTATACTTAACACCAAAAAGAAAAAGTTGAATTTTCTAGGGCACAATAAGGAAAGAGGGCTTGGAAAATTTCATACTCACAGGACAGATTGAAGGCGAGAGGGACAGAGGAAAACAACACAGAACATACATCGTGATCATGAGTAATGGATGATAGAGGAGAAATAACAAAGACAAAATTTATTAAAAACTAAAAAGGACAGGGAATTCAATTGTAGAGAGACATAATTGACAACGTCCTGACAACGTATCAATGAGATTCTGAACTATTAAGAATACAAAGAAAGAGACTATATTAAAAAAATAAACATTTGTTGTATAATTTTTTCTTGTAACTATTTACAGTTTACATTGTTTCAGAAACTATTCATAGATTTAGACGCTGCAAGACCCGGAGAAGATTTTGAAATTTGACCAATTATAGGGGAATTTTGAGGCCATATGAAATAGGTATTAGAGCATATTCTAAAGCCAAAATTCAGCTCATGTGCTTATGATTCTACCATTAAAATGATCTCATTTTAATCACAAACACTTAAAAAAAAAAACATCGATTCTGTTGAAAAATTCACTCATTAAAAAAAGTTGCTTCAGGGGACCCTCTGGGATTAGAGGCCTTGAAGTTTAAGCTTCATTAGTTTCATAGTAGATTCACCACTGATTTCTGGTTCCACTGTCATGCTTAGAAATTATTTCCTTCTTAATTTCCACAGTAACTGATTTTTTTGCTTCTGTTGATCCATAGTTATGCTTCTTAGTAAAAAAAAAAATTTTAAAATAACTAAAAATGATATGATTAAACTAATTTTTTTTCTGAATATCGAGAACCAAACTAGTGACATTCCATCATTGCCCATTGGACTCTGAACTACCACCAGTCACGCTGAATGGATGTCCCCTCAGGGAGGCTTTGTGACTTGACAGACTATTGGATCTGAAACTCACACCTGACCTCAAGTGGAACTTGTATATACTATCTATTGCAAAATATGCAGGTAAAATGGTCAGTTCCCTGTACTGCTCCAGTAGGTACCTGGTTATCCTCTACCTTTACAAGAGCCAGATCAGACCAAGAATGGAGGACTATTTGAGCAGCTATCACTTTCCAGTCTCGTTAGAGTTGAAAAGCATCTCCGAGTCCTTGTGGGTGGCAACCAATCTCTCACAGGCGGGATGTGGCAAGCCTCTCACTACTCTATCGTCACTTCCATGAGAAGTCATAACCTTCATGGCCAGGACCCTTCATGCCACTAGTAATTTTCTAAGCGTAGCTTAGATGTGGCACAAGGCAGAAAGTACTGGGCACCCAGTAAGGATCAAACTCACTACTCAGTCGTAAATGTTCTAGCGAGACAAGCTTGCTAACCATTACACCACCTTGAGGTGCCCACCCTTCATGCCACTAACACTGCAGCAAACCACTCATATTCTCTCCATATTCCAGCAGTGAGAAGTAAGTTCTATTCAAACAGCTTCTGCCCATGAACAACTGCTCTGTAGATGTTTCCCTGATCACTACAATCTTAACCTGTTCAAGTCTAGGGTTAACCGTTATCTTCCACTCCTATCTTCTTCTTTAAACTGCCTATTAAGGTAACCCTCTACCTCAAGTGGCCCCCGGGCCATGTACAGGGTGAACTTCACTGTGTGAAAAAAAGGCCAGCTGAAATAGGAATTACCTCTAAATATGACTGATTGACTCTTATGCTGTTAAATGCAATAACCCTCTAGCTCGAGTGGCTCTCGAGCCATGTACAAGATGAACCTTACTGTAAAAAATAGGAAGTGCATCTAAATATGATTGTGTCTTTTATGTCATTAAATGTAATAATTAACAAACCAGGATTATATTGTATATGATAACTGTTTATCTTAAACTACTTATATAACTAAACATTCCTTACCTAAAATGGTTACAATCTCATTGTCATGTATGCAGTTTTCACTAATGAGAAACATATGTGAATTTGTCTATATTAATTTCTACTACCCTTTTTCTTCTTAACTGTTTTTTTTTTTGGCTTGGAATATTGAGATTTATGCTTTAGTAAATTTTCTCATAAAATTTTTCCTTCAAGGATGCCGGATGCCTTATAGTAAAAAGTTTTTTTTTCTTTTTTTTTTTTTGCTAGAAACACTAAAACGACATACTTTTAATTGATTTCCTATTGAAAAAAATCTAAAAAATCCAAACTAGTCTTCAAGAAACCAAGGAATTTTCTAAACAGTTACTGTTCCTTTTTAAATCCCACAAAACTTCTATGTTAAATGCTGTCAAGAATGCGACCATTCTTTGAATAATTCCAAGATGACATTTTCAACTCACTTCTTCATGATGATTCTCAATGTGATTGAAGTCAGGTTTAAATTCTTTGATTATTTTTTTTCTGTGTGTAGGTTGGAGAGATTTTTTCAACAAGTGTACCCAATCTGTCATCTTCATCAATGTATTAACCATCAAAGTCCACAATGAAATAAAGGAAAATATTTAGGTTTGTACACAGATAGTCTGATGAGCAAAATTGATACAAAAAGCATCAGGAAAACATGCATGATTCTCAATACCATTCATTTCTATGAAGAATAGTATTAACACACCTTATAAAGCAAGGCTGCTTTGTAGAACCAACTCCCAAGAGGATGCTTCCGCGATCACTACAATTTTAACTTGTTCAAGTTTAGGATCAACTAGTATCTTTCCATCATATCACCATAAGCTGTTCCTCTTACTCTATTACGTTCTACCTCGACTGGCTCTTGGGCCTTGCACAGGGTGAACATCATTGTA